TAATGTGTTGTATTGTTCACGAATTTTAGGGGGGTCTTGTATTGTGTCAGAGTTGTGATAGTTACCAGTTACTGTTACCACCGTTACTCGGTAATTGTAACTGCTGAACAGTTGACGTTCTTGGTAACGGTAACGGATAAGCAGTTACCGTTACTTGTAACTGGTCGTTATCGTTACTTGTACGGTAACAGCTTACCCGTTACCGTTACCAAGAACGTCAACTGTTCAGCAGTTACAGTTACTGTAACGCTAATGGTAACTGTCACAGCCCGATATCGTGTCCCTTAGAGAAGTCATATTTTTCGGCGGTACCCTCAAAACACGCGCAGTATTTTCTTTACACCATACGGTAAATTCCACACAAAAAACTGTTAATTTCACTCTTGTTCGACAACACAAAAAGAAAAAATACATTTACTTATTGCTCCACATATGTTTTAAAGGCAACTGTTTATTTTAATTTTTAGTTATAACCCTAGTGGAACTAAGATTTTGACTTCTTGAACTTTTTCAGTTAGAGCTTGATTAAGAAAATGCAAGAATTCAAGAAGTCAAGATCTTGAGCATCTTGTAATCTTTTGGCTTCTTGTACCAATACCTTGGAAATTTTTGAATCATCGTTTTGTTTTACATTCTTGTGAAAATATAGGTGCGAATATTTCACACTTAGAATAACTGCGAATTTCTTTCCTTCTTGAACATAATTGTTTAAGAAAGACTCTATGACTTTATATGGTCGTCAAGACCAGGGTATATGACTTGGTTGAACGGGAGAATCATCGAGAGAGGTATATTAATTAATACTTTTGCGCTTCAGCTACAGGGATGCATATTCAGAGAAGTGCAAAAAAGTAAAAACATTTGCAAAAGTTTTCAAAAAATCAATCCTTATTAAGAAGCATCTTCTAATCTGTCTTTTGCTTCGCTCACTCAAGAGGGGTCTTCTATTCTAGAGGGAAATTTTATAACTACTTACGTGACTAATTTACGTGTGTCGAAGTAATCAACTAAATGATTGTTCGTAGTATTTTAATAAAAATTTTAGTAATGGTTTTGCAGGAAATTATAAAGCGCCTATCATCATGAGTATATCTTGTTAAAGCAACGAAGAATTACAATGTAAATATAAGCAATGTTACAAACACATTATATACCGACACAAAAATTTAGACGAAAGAAAATATGTTTTACGGTTTTCTGTTTTTTTCTTTCTCTTTTTAATCGCCACCTATATGTACACGCAACACGCATTGTTAACAGAAAAAATAATCAAGAAAATGACTCTTTGTTCACATGAATAAGTGTGCTATGACATTATTCTGTTCTGTTACTTTTTTGCAAAAATATTTAAGTTTAACTTTTCAATACTTATTTAAAATATTGATTATTCCTTCCTGACGAATTATTACTGATTGATCGAGCAATGAATCATCTGTTTTATAAAAACGTGTAAGCATGATTGAGAATATGATGAATTAAGACAGTAAGTATGCTGAAATCGTCTTCATATTTTCATTAACTATTTTATCTGATCATTGTTAGGAATTATAAGATCGTTTTATCTTCATCAACTGCTTGACTGTATTAAACATGTGACAGATTCTGAGTTGAAGATCAATGCAAACATTAAATGAAAACAATGTTGTAGATGTAGTATACTAGGATTCTCATCTGAGAATCAAAATTCTACGAATATTTAGTTTCTTTCAGAGAGAAAATGTTTTCGGGTTTGGGAGAGAATTTGGGCATAAAAACAGCTGTCCAACGTAGGACTCTGCACATGACCGTTTGTTAACAGAAGAATAGATGTTATCGATCTTGTAGTTGACTTCTATTTCCAAAATTACCTTCGTCCACACTATCTAAATGGGTACATACCAATCACATGTAGAGCTATTAGCTGGTAGTTTTGTCCGCGACGACCGAAACCTATCAAAAACCTTTTCGCCTTCGTCAATGCAAGAGTTTTATTTCACTTTTGTTACCAATACGGTTTAAAAGAAATGACACTTAAGTGGAGGCGCTTTTCTGAATCCATAAACATTAGAAAGTTCTTAAGGAGGAATCACTCCGAAAACTCCAAATTTTCCTCTAGTAGAGAATGTACATTTTTATATTCTAGGTTTTTTAACATTTGTAAAATATCGATGCCTCGTCTGACTTCTCCCAGAGAAACAGAAAAATATTGATCGTTAATTTTTATTATTTCTGGTGTTGTCGATTGTTGTCCATAACTTTTTTTAAATCAGTAATAAAAGATCTTCCATAACTAGACCTGTGTGCCGGTCGGAAAATCGGCAGCGGCTAAAAGATCATTTAAAGCGGTGCCTAAAATAAGCTTTTACGACGAGTTCCTCCACAAAACTCGGACGCCTTCGGCGGCGGCGCAAACATCTAACTTATCCATCAGCGTCGGTGACGGCAGCGGCGCGGCGCACAGGTCTATCCATAACCATTTGAAAATACTGTTCTTACAGAAGAATGGTCTAGCAGCGTATTGGGATCCAAAGGAAAGATATTTGTTCTGGATAAAATGTTTCAGTATCAAAATATTCTTCCATATTTTGTAACGAGGGAACATCCCTAAGTGTCCTCCAGGGATTTGGGGGAAATACATGACGTCTGGTAGAGCTAAGTGCGCTGATTACGACTGCCATATTTTTAGCTGTCACCGTTAGCTTGCTGCTGAGTTAGAGCAGTTTTATTTTACTTTGGTCAGAAAATGACCTCTTTTCGATCGATCACAGTTTTTTGCAGATACGTTGTTCACATTCGTTTAATATGCTATTTTGTTAAAAAACTCTCCATCTACAGTTTGATGTATGAGACATAACAATTCGACTTATAGTATTCGAGAAACAAATAAGCATTTACTGTACACGTATATTTTGCTATGCATCGTAATTTTTTGCTCCCGTATTTCTGTACAAAAAAATTATTTCGTATTTTTAAATAGGTTATGACATCCCGTTTTCCTAGATTCAGCTATAAATTGGCCAAAACTCTAAATTGTACATGAATTTGGCCATTTTGCCAAGTTCACGTAAAAAAAAACACATCTGTTGTGAATGATCTGACACTATAAATACGTATAACGATGCATCTATTACATATAAGTTGCCATGTTGTCTAAGCACGGTATACTTATTGCGTAATCAAAAGTGTATCATCCGCATTACTCTAGACATTTGAAATAAGAAAACCTTCTTTTACTGCTGACTGTACTCGAATGTTCAAAATCAAAAATTTCAGAAACAAACAAGTTTTTGTTTTCTTTTTTCGCCACAATACAACAGTTAGAAATTCTTAGTTGATAACACGCAGACTGTGTGCGTACCATATTAACAAATTAATAATTCGGTGATTATTGTTGTAAGATGAACAAAATTTTTGTAATCAAATTCAGACTGAAAAACAACATCCTATATAATACTGTATGATGGACAAGAAGATAGCATAATTAAGAAGACTGAGTGAAGTTTCCGCATATGTAAACATATGTAAACTGTTTGTGCCGAGAAGAAAAGTCATACCAGTATACGAGTATCAGTTAGCTTTCAAGCTTATCTATGTCTTAATAATCCTACCGACAGAAAGGATGAAGCACTATGAAAAACGTTTGATAAGTAGAATTTCAACGCTCGAATTATCATGTCCTATATACCCAGTTGTAGATGAAGACTTCGTAAACAAAACAGGATATTAAACGAATATGAACAACGTATCTTTAAAAAACTGTATCGAAAATAGGCCATTTTTTGACCAAAGTAGATAAAACTACTCTAACTCAACAGCGAGCTTGTTAATTGATTCAGGTGCTATTAGTACTGAAATGAGTAATTTTGACGTAGCTAAATACTTGATTAAAATGATTGATAAAAACTTTGATGAAATTGTCTATTTTTACGATAGAAATAATAAGATTATGTTTGTTTTAAGAAATGAAGAAAATATATCGTTGTCAACGTGCCACGCAGATAAGAAAAAATTATTTGTCTACTTAGATGAAATTCATACTCGTGGAAGTGATTTAAGACTACCATTAACTGCACGTGGTATTGTAACCCTTGGAAGGGGTATGAACAAAGATAAATTAATGCAAGCAACTACGCGTCTTAGAGATCTCGACTTTAAACAATAGATTGTCTTGTGAAGTTTAGAAGAAATTTCGGCAGAAATTGCAATGATTAATGGACTCAAACAAAAAGATATTACTAGTAAACACGTTCCATGGATTATATACAATACAATTAAAACAAATGAAAAAGATTTACATCCAGTGATGGAAGAGAAATTGAAATATGTAATTAAAAGTAGATCGCTTGAATATCAAAAAGATTCGAAAATTCGAGATATTCCTATTCAGTCTCTGATTATAACATGTCATTGACAGATCCAGGATTATTTTTTGGTACGTGCGGTATACGATAAAAGTGCAAGATACGTGCGGTCGTCATAGAAACAAATTATTCTAAGAGAGATCTGTTAGGAAAAAACAGTCTTTTGGTTAAGGTACGAGCGGCCGCTCGTACCGCTCGCGGGCTGGATTCGCCACTGCAACATGTATAAGTAGCGTTCCTGATAGAATAGAAGACTTGTAAGCTAAAAACCCTCACGAAATCCAAGAGATATTTTAAATCAGAACACGGGTGAATATTTAAATGACTTTTATTCGAATTTAATACAGGAATTACCAACGTTAGAAAATAAAAAATTTTCTATAGACTCGTTTATTGACGAAAATTTAAAAGATGTTGATAGACCAGCAATGAAACGGATGCTCGAAAGGGTGGAAAGCAAACGTCCCGAAAATATTCTAACTATTAATTATGATTCTGAGTGTGATCAAGAAAATGAAAGAGAAATTGAAGAAATGCACAGGTTGAGGTTACTTTGGTAAAACAAATGCCCGCAACTGTCGAAATCATTTGGAATTTTAATTTTATTTCTCAACAAAATTTTGAAGAACAAGCATTAAAGGAAGAATCCGGATATCCAAAAATAAAACAGTTACAAAAGTGTTTGTATTCACCGATATTGACGGCCTTAAACATTTAAAGTGGAGTAATCAAATTTTTGCGACAGAAAATTTTATTAAAACAATCGATGGTCTAGGCATAAAAAAGCAGCTTTATCAGAATACTTAAGACCAGTTAATATGAATTCAATTCATAAAAATGATAAAGAAGTATCTTTTACTTAAATTTCTGGGTTTGACGTTCACCATCTTATTGGTTTAATTAAAATGAAACAAGATTCTAAAGTAAAATTAATGCATCTTGATGATATAAACGGACCAACAATTGTTCCACAAAATGCTATAGGACTGTCAAACGAAGAAATTAGTAATGTAATAACCATCATTAGATTGTTTAATGGAGATTGTCGTTACAATAAAGAAGAAACCATTGTAATAAAAAAATGTCTTCCTGTAATTGACAGCAACTGTTTTGATAAAAACGAAGCAAAATCACAACAAATTAACACTGAACTTGGGTTAAAACATCATCTTCTGAACGGTTTTATAACTTACAAAGTCGCAGCTGAATTAGGTAACAGAATGAAAAATCTTATTAGAAGTTGAGCTTCAGTTTCGTCCGATTATCAATGAAAGTATTGCAGAGGATTCTGCAAATGCATCGGATGTATCTGGACTTATTACACAAGTGATTAAGATTAGAGGAAAGACTAATCAGTATCAAAGCAGTACATTGAGAGAAATATTTGATAAGAAGTCTGATTCTGACCTTACATAAGCTTAAACTTGGTGTGTGTCATTTTAAGCGTCTTGTTAATTCATTGAGATATACCGTTAGTCTTCAGTCGAATGGCTTAGATTTTTCATTCCTACAAAAAGAAATCGATTATTAGCAATTTTATTCAACTTGTATCAAGTTAGCGCTAAAACACGTATACATAAAATTTGCAAATAGATGTAAATAAAGGTTAATATTCCAGTGAATATGTTTGTATAACCAACAACGTGACTTCCCCAAAATAATTGTTATACACTGTTCCATAGATCTCGATGAGCTTTATCTTACAGTATGTGTTTCGATTGATTTACATACAAATTTAGGCCTGATTGCACCCCGAATATGAAATATTGTTTTACTTAGCGCTTTCTAGTCTCAAAATAACGATCAATATATTCCGAGTTTTATGAAAGGCATGGCTATCTTTCCCGACAAAACACAAGTCGAATGGTATAATGGCAAAAGCACAAGATTTTAGATGATGGCTTTCTGGTCTTTTTGCTGATTACGGTTGCAAAATGACATAATTTGATGCGTCTCGATGAGTTCTTTCGGACAATGTGCTTTTCAGCCTTGAATTTTGACATTTCCTCTCCTGCACTAAGACTAAAATCGATCTTTGGAAACTTTCCAATCATTTTATCAAGACACTGGTCTAAAACGTACACGGCTGCATGCGTCCCGACGAGTTCTGTCTGACACTGTGACTTTTAGTCTTTGACCAAGTTCGGAAATGAATCTGCGGAGCCTTTCCCCCAAAAGCCGGTTTTTCATACGTGAAAATTCGGTTATTTTAAATTTTTCTTTCAAATGGTTTGTTCATTTCCTACACCATTTTGTAGAGCTCGTCGACTTCCACTTGGACCAAATGGTTTTCAGTTTGGACCAAGTTCTGAAGTGAATTTGGGTGGAAAATAATCGAATCTGATGCTAACTTAACCTAGGTTTGTGGCATACCAGTATTTTAGTAAAAAAATTTCGCAATTTAACGAGCTTGTAATTAAGCCTACGCGGTGGGATCAGGATAGGATAGGAGAAAAGATTTTTTCAGGATCGGAGGATTTTACTCTAAAGCGACGCCGACCTATTTAACATCTTTAACTGGTAAAAATTGTACGCACTCAGCTCACTTTCGACTCGCCTGTCTTCTTTTTTTCCCCACATAGGTACAAGTAGTCATTGGGGTGTAGTTGGGGCGACATCCGTTTATAGCCCAACTGCTACTGTAGCTCCAACCGCCCGATTCTAGCTCCATTTTTTTTGCTTGGGTAATTACTTAACAGTTATTTAAATTCTTCAAGACATGTGATCTTCACATTTTTCTTGAAAGGTATTTTTCTACTATGGACAGAGATAGAACTACGCCTTCTTCCTAAAACCGTGCTCGTTTAACGTTAAATTTTTACCATAATTACTTCAGAATTTATACAGCACGATCTTTCCTTTTAATGTGTCAGAAAAAGTATCTTTAATAGAAGTTATAAAGTTTGGAAATGAAAAATTCTTACGCAATGTTCTAGCATAATGGTGTAGAATTTTTTCTGAAGAAACGAGTAATGCCGCGGATACGTGAGGTGGCATTAATCTAACAGAAAAAGTCTTTAATACTAGGTCCAAAGAATTATTTTCATCTATCTGTTTAGAACATAGTTGAACATCAATGAGAAATAACACAAGAGGAAGTTAGAAATTCAGACCAAAGTTGCACGTACTTATTCTTGTTCTTATTCAGTTGTTTTAAAAAACAATAAAATAACATATGAAGTAGCATCCAATGAAAATACACAATATTTGACCATGTAATGTGGCAATAATTCCGCGGATAGAGAGAGATACATCATATACCTAGTTTCATTTCATACACTATTGAATGATTGACCTTGGTCACTACACGCACTCTTGCACAACAGCATGTTTCAGCGCACCTGCCAAAAATATATCTCAGTTGAGAAACGAATATTTTCGCAGAAATATTGGTTTCTCAACTGAGATTACTTGATTAAAATATGGATTGTATCTCAGCTGAGTCCAAACCATTCCGAAATGGTAGTAAATAATCTCGTTTTTTTATTAATGATGTTCTGACGTCTATGAGAGCTCTTTATTCATCTTTTCTCATCCATGCGTAGAATCTATTTTAAACACAAAAGATTCGACTCGATATTAATGAGGCAACACCGAGGATTTATGTTGTTATCTGACGTGAAATATAGTTCTTTGGCGTCCAATTCAGGGTGGTGAATTTTGGGGCCCTCTGAGTTCGTCCCAAGTTGACTTCTCAATTCCCACGAAGCTTTTTTTCTGAGTTCGTCGCATCAGCACTTCTCTCTCAGTTCTTCCCATACATTTTTTTCTCAATTCGTCCCAGATATCTATGCTCGCGCCTCAAAATAAATAAAGTGTTGTGTCATCGAACAGTTTAGTCGACGGCCATGGGTATTGTACACAAGAGTAGGTGCGCGTACGTGGCAAAATGTGTCGTGTTAGCCACTACTATCACAAATTCAAATCTAAATAAGTTAAATTGTTTTGTTCATCAAAATGTTAATTTTCGCGTCTACTGAAAAAGAGAAACCACTTATGAATCATAATGGGTATCAATACACCAAAAAACGAGCAAACAAAACAAATACTTAATGGCGGTGTCGGGATCGAAGAGTTTTGTCCAAGTATAATATCATTATGGACGGACGGTGTGAGAATTTTACGGAATGAGTCAGTATTCTGTAAGTTTTATTATGCGTAGATGACTATTTTTGAATTATCAAAACGGACTGATTTCTGGCGCCATCTATCTCCCAACTACAGAAACATTTGCTTAGTTTTTTCCTCTCCCCCTCAAACTTTTGATTGATCAATGTCAAAAATAAAAATAAATTTTACGTCATAAAAATAATACAATAAATTTTCACCTGTACGTAGTTCCCATACAAAATATTATAGTGAATGAAAAACGTCCATCTTTATCTTATTTCAAAGACAAATATAATCAACTTCAAAAGCATGTGTGTTTGTTCTCGTTCTTATTATATCTTATTTCAGAAACAAAATTAACTTCAAACAGTAAACAATGATAACAAAGGACCTCGCCGGATAAGGGTAGAAATCTGTCCTCTTCTTGTTCTGGTATCATGTTATATTTGTAGAGTGGTCCTTGTCTCATCCGAGTATGATATTTGTTTTCTCCTAGCTTTAGACTAAAAATAAAAAAGATCTTTTTCCTATTGCAGCTTAGTGGTAGGGTTTCGTTCAGTAAAATGATTTTATCTTTTGAACAAAGTAATATTTTGAGATGCAACTTTTAGCAATAGATAGAGCAGATCAACTTCTATAGAAAACATTGACAAACGCAACTTAAATGTGTTTAAGCAACATTTCGAGAAGGTTGGATTTGATTCGACAATGTATCACCAGTGTTGTGTAATTAACTTGAATGAAATCTCCTTCATCTTCTTTAATATGTTGCAAAAGAGATACCATATAAAAAACTTCTACACATATTCCTAGTTATCGTTGTCTATAACAAACATAATATCTTAGCTCATTTTTATTTTATCTGAAGATGCGTGTATGGGATCTTAGTTACTGAGTGGAATTATTTCAAAAAACAAATCAGTATTAAATTATGTCTTGT